TTTTAAAAAATACCATTTTAAAGGGAGATAAAAGTGGCCACTTTATTGTATAGATTTGAGTATCCCTTTTGTGACCTGCTTGGGACCAGGAGTCTTTCAGGATTTGGGGTTATAATTTTGTTTCATGTCTTGATATCTTTGGAATGGGACCTAAGTCTAAATTCCAAATTCATTTATACATATAAGCTGAAGGAAATTTTACACAATATTTTTAGTATGCCTATATTTTAAATATGACTGGTCGGATGAAATCATGTGAAATTTTCTATTTGAATCTTGAAAAAGTTCAGATTTAGGGTTGCTTAGAATTTAGGATTTTTGGATTGGTGAGGCTCAACCTGTACAATCACATTCAGATGAAAGTTGGAAGCAAAAAGCATGTACATATTATTTTACCCAGTACTATTTCTGTACAACATTGCCCTACAGATAAATTTTACCTAAGAAATTCTACGGTTTTAGTGCATCATTGACATGCTTCTCTTAAACTCAGCATTAAAAAGGAAAACCTGAAAGTGGTAGAATTGATTATATTAAAACTTATTTAACAAGGCATATTAAGTATAATTACAAATGGCAGTGCACACAGTTATGCAAAGACCATGAGTATGTGAATCATATGGAAACTTATTAGGTACCATTTTCATCTTTATTCCCTTTTCATTATTTCTAGTTTTAAAAAATTAATAGTTGACCCCCTTTCAACATCTGATTTACTAAAAACAAATCATAAACCAAGAAATCATTGACTATAAACCTGTATGTTGGTTAACCCAAACTATCAGCATTTTAAGTCTTGAAACCATAAATATAATTACAAACTTAGATCTTCAGTCTACAAATGCACCTCAATGAGTGAATACACTTAGCCTCTTTTGCTAGCCATTATCCTTTTCACAGTCACACTACCTCTAACCACCAAGGATTCATTACTTTTCCTCTAGGTTTACAATGTTTTCCATCGTCTGACATTAATTACCTTTACTATATATACCTTATTGTCCTGATCTGTTTTTTTCTAGTCTCTACACTGATCTCACCTTTAATGACCAGTGGTGGCAAACCTATCATGTGTGCCACAGTGGTCTATTTGTCATTATTGCAACTTCTAAAAGGTTCGCAGTCACTTATCTAGTCACCCAGACTCTGTAACTGTTGTTAGCATTGTGATGGAGCAAAGGTAATAAAATAAATAAGCACCAGAGAGCCAAGCACTAGGCACTACTGAAATCATTCTGTGATGGCTGTTTGTTACTTTATGCTCCTATCATAGGCAGGCTTGGAAGTGTTTACTTGTGACCACCAGTAAGGTGCTCTGTCACTGTGTATAGCTCATTTGCCTTTTGGATTTTCTGTATAGCCACTAATAGTCGATCAAAGGGCCTTACTAGCACAAAATGACTACTGCTATTCTTGAGGAGAAATATCTAGCAAAAAGCAAAAAATGCCCATTTTAGTTAACTGTTGCTTATGGACACAACCTCTTATTAGTTTTGTGGAGCATTTCAACCAAGTGAAAAAATAAATAAATAAAATAAAAACAAACAATCCTGCAGCTCAGTTCTGGCTCATAAAACCAGCCCTCAATAGTAAAAATACCTTGACCGATGAAAAACCCGAGTCCAGGCCTCCCGTATAAAACTCTTACTTCTGTGATGAATTTTCTTCATTTACAAAATGAAGACCCTCTCAGATCTGAATTTCCAAGCCTCTAAATTCTCAAAATTGGGAGAAGTAAGCAGGAATATGCGTTTCAATGACAACAATTTAAGCTATTAAATCTTTTAACTAAATGTCTGACTTCTTGAAGATACAGAATAAAAATATACAATGGATTAGTGATTTTGCAATTATCCTGTTACTTCTTTTATATAACCCAACTGTATAATTCAAGATTTAAAGTAAGTTTTGGCATTAATTATTGGCTTGCACATCAAATTCACATGAACATAGTTAAATTCCCATTTCATTTTGTCCTAGGAGGAAACTTGGCTGCCAAGAATTGCTCCAGCTCTCTTTAACAAGCAGCATGTATTTTAAAAAGAATACAGAGGGCCCTTTTTGCATAAGTTTTAAACAAGAAATACAAAGGTTACTATACAGTCTCCTTTTAATAAAAAGTTTGTTTCACTGTGCTTGAAGCTCTCAAAATTTAAAAACAAAATTGATAAGCATTCCAAATATTTTTAATGAAATATAGTGCTTTGTTTCTTTTTTTAAAGTGGGATTATTTTTAGCAATGTCTGGATAAAGTTATATCATCAGTAGTCTACTCAGTAGTATCGTAAATGCACCTGCTTGCCAATTCAAATAATTTCTGGAGAAACAAGCATTCTATTTAAAAAGGAGTCAGCCACATAATCTGACCGAGAGAGTCTACATTAACAAAATGTAGTGAGTATTCACAGTATAAATCAACTGTACTAGAAAATGTCTTTTTGCAAAAGCAGCTTCAAGGATAATACTGCAAATACAAACAGCCTCTTAATTTCACCACACTTTATTTTTACACTTTGATACACTAAAAATAAGCGTAAGTGCAATATGAAAGGTGAGACTAGATGATATTCACATACTTGGTATAGAGTCATACCACAAAACAGATCCGAAAACTTTAAGAACAACTACTGAAGTTCCAAGTTGCTTGACCTACAGAGTTGAAAAATTACTGCAGACGAAGACTTATGATCTCAACAAAGAGTAAAAGATCAGGTTCACAAAAACACCATAAGGCAGTGACGGTGAACCTTTTAGAGCTTTCAGTGATAAACAGCCCACTGCAGCACACATGCCATAGCTTCACCACCAACGGCATAACATATTCAACCCTGACCTGAGAAATGGTGGCTTTAATCATGCCAAGTGATATGGTACCAGGAAATGCTACTCTGATTTAACTCTCTCCTCCAACATGAGGACTCTGCACAGAGCTGGTTAGTCTCTAGCAGCTCTAACCTTCTGTGACTCTGAACTCCCTTGAGGGCTGGGTTACCTGAAGGATCTGTGTGATTTGCTGCCTTCGGCTGTAAGGGAACACCAAGGACTCCAAGAGACTACATGAATCCAAAATAGCTGCTCAGTTTATGACCGTTTTTAAAAGCAGGGAAGAACACTTATCCTCTCAGAAAAATTTAAGTATATAATACAATGTTAAGCATAGTCTTACTGATGTGTGTGTACTCATCCCCAAACTTAATGAGTTGTATCATATA